GCCCACAAGGCGAACATGTCATCTACGGAAAATAATATCAGATTTAGGCCAAGTGCGAATACCTCTGTCGCGAAGCGGCCTCAGTGGCAAAGAGTTCAGAAACGGAGGGCCTTGAGTACAAGGGAACAGCTGGCCCACCGCCACTTGTTCGACGGCCTCGGCGTTGTTGAATGAAGGACCTAGATATAACTCATTGAGTTCGGCATTAGCTGGTGCAAGGACGTTCGGAGTTATATATGGCCGAGTGAGGATTCTCTGGAAGTCTTCGAAACTGAAAGAGTCACCAGATTGGGTTTGTGAAGCAGCCATTGGGAACGAAATAAAGTTTTGTTGAAGTTTGTTTGAGAAACGTAGCAAAGAAGCAAGAAGATGAACAGTAATATTGCGAGAGAGAAGCGCAAAACAATGAGGCGTGATTTAGTGGTGCGATGAAATGGTGTGTATTTGGGGGTTATAAGAGTTTGCAACGTCGCGCCTTTTCAGACTATGGAAGAAAATAATGATTGAAATTCTTGAGAATTTCAAATGTTGTTGGGAAATACAAAGTGAATATGGCAAAAATTAATAATTTGTATTAATTCTGCCACATTGGGGGGGTAATTGTTGACACGCTAAAAGTGCAGCCCAAATCAAATAGGCCAAAGAATGAAGTCCAATTGGACAATTTAGGATAAAGGCCCAAATAGGGTTATTAATGAATGTAGTGGAAGCCCCAGAACGCGGTAACACCATCGCCCAAACTTGCAAGACGCCCAAAATCTGAGCGAATGAAGTGCCTTGCAGTCTCCCAGAGTTATGACCCTGTTCTCGCCCAAACCTTCGAATCGCCCAGGATCTTAGCGAACACAAGATGTTATGGTTATCCAAAAGTGCAGTTATCGAAACAGTTATTGAGTAATCTTATCACGATCCACGATTCAAGGAGTTCAGTTGAAGACGGTTGAACGACAAAGAGTAGTGGCAGCAGTTAGAGACGGAAATTCTACGATAAGTTGGCCACCATGAAGAAAGTGGGCGGTTATAAAGCAATTAAGCAGTTTCTAAGCAGTTGATCACGAAGAGATCATCAAGGGAATATAAAAGGAAGAAAAGACATAGAGCAAAGGACCCAAAATCAAACACTCTCAAACAGAGAATATGTAATTTCAATTTCTTGGTTTAGACTTAAACATTTTCTTTCAGTACTCGTGTGCTTGCGCCCCTTGGAGGTATTCTGTTTAGTTCCAATTGTAAAGTCATCGCTAATAAAACACCCCTTTTTGGGACTTTGTTTCAAGAGGTTTGTTCCTTACATAATCTTCTGATCCCTTTTTAATTGTTAGCGACTATCTGCGCGAAACACTAGTAATTTTATCTCTTTTTCTTTCTGTTTACCTTACTTTTTGCATTTTCTTATCAATTTCTTGTTTGCATGTTTCATTTTCTAGAAGGGTTGCATGATGTCCGATTCACCACAGTCAACGTTGATCCAGGTCTGAAGCTGGTCAGGTGGGACTTAGTAGCACCGGAGGGTTGAACAACGGTAGCCCTAATGGTCCATCTCAGGTGCCGTCTCCTCGAACGATGATGTTTGGGATTAAGAACAAAAAGCCATGGGAACTAATTTACCAGCCCGCGGTTCAAGAGATATAAGAGGGTTTTGGGTGAGGGATATAGGAGGGTTTTGGAAGGGATTAGGAGTGGGGAAAGGACGGAGTGGAGTGGGGTGGGGTGGCGTAGGGTCGGGTCGGGTCAAAAATAAATTTTTAAAAGTTTGGAATCGCGGGTGGTATATAAAAAAATTTGGGAATAATTTATAAAAGAATAAAAAGTTTGGACATTAAAATTGCAATTATTACTTTTAAATTTAGGTATTTTTACATTTTTTTTTACGGTGAGGAGGTTTTAAGCATCAAAAGTTTCAAATAGGGGGGTTTTTACGATTTTCAATAGGTAAGGATATATTGCAAATGAAAACCTTTTTAGCGGATTTTCTGCTATTGATCCTTACCAATTGTAGTTTCTAGCTTTTCAAGTTACCCAAACGTCGAAATATTAGTAATTTATTTGTTTTTTATTTTAACAAATAAAAAGGTTGTTTGTTAATTGGTTTACTTAAAGTGAACTTTTTAAGCTTAGGCAAACATAGCCCTAGGTGTTGGAAAATAATAAATTAAGGGTCTGTTTGATTGTGAAAATGGAATTTGGGTGGAAAGAAAATGAATTTCAGGAAATTGAATTACCTAGAAATTGTTTTACTGAGAATTGTAAATTATTGTGTTTGATTGGTATAATTTTTCACTTGAAAAATGTTGAAGTAAAAGTGTTTTTTTGTGTTCGTTTGGTTTTGTTTTATATGAAAATTGTCAATTTAAGGAATATCCACTTCTACCATTGTTCCAAGAATTTGTTTCCATTACCAACAAAAAAAATGAAAAAAAAAAGATAAAAAAATCATCTATATTTTGGTGTTCGTTTGATTTTGTTTTACATGAAAATCGTCAATTTTAGGGATCTCTTCTTTTACAATTGATCCTAGAACTTGTTCCCATTGCCAACAATTAAAAAAAAAAAGGTCGAAAACCAAAAACCACTTACCCCTAGAAAAATAAAAGGTGAAAATCACGCTTTAAAGTGTTGTACTTAAAAATTCATGGAAAATCAATTCCCTGAAAAATTTTGTCAATCAAATAGGTCAAAAGTAGAAGTTGGAATTCGAATTCCAAATTCCATGGAAAAATTTCGTGCAATCAAACGGGGTCTAAGCTCTCGTTTGACCCCCATTAAATTAAGTTTAATTTTTCTCTCTTTTATTTTCAATTATACAATCTTTCATAAAATAATATTATACATAAAATAATTTTTTATTTTTTTTCAACTACTCATTCTTCAAAAAAAAAAAAAAAAAAAAATCACCATTTCACTCTTAATTTGAAAAAATGGGGGCAGACGGGGCTAAAAAGGAAGAAAGGAAAGCAGGGAATCTTAAAAGACTTTTTAACTCGAAGAAAGACATTTTCACAGAAAACAACAACGGCCGCAAACAACAGCTGCTAATTTATTATTATTTTTTTTTTTAGCAAAGCCAAATGCTATTGTAGTCATCGACAGACGTAGCTTATCTGCCAAGTTCTTTGTTCCTTTTTCTCATTTGTATGTCGTGATTTCTGATACCAATCCGAGCCATGGATTTCCAGAGAGAAATCAAGAAAAGAAAGTGCCACAACGAAGAAGAAGATGAACATCAGCCCTTAAAGTGTTTGCCACATGAAATCGCCCTCGACATACTCTCCAGGCTGCCCATCAAATCTGTTATCCAATCCAGGTTTGCTTGTCGATCTTGGAACCTCTTGTCTCGTGATCTACACCTTGTTAATATGCACATGTCCCGGGCACTGATTTGCCAAAGGTTATGCCTTATTTTCCACTCTGATTATCCAATTCGGAACCAGCTTCACTTTGTTGAATTCTCTGATGTTGATGACAATGAAATAGTGAGAAAAATTGATACTCCCTTTGTTGGATCCTCGCCAGAATTTAGTGTGATTGGCTCGTGTAATGGTCTTTTATGCCTAGTTGATTCATTATTAGCTGACTCCATATACATATACAATCCTTTCACGAGGGACTATAAAGTACTACCGAAGTCTGTTGAATTTGAAAATCAGATTGTCATACATGGATTCGGATTCCATCCGGTTACTAAAGAGTACAAGGTGATCAAGATAGTTTACTATCCTAATACCTATAATCTTGAAATTCCTAGGCACTTCCGCAGATTAACTTTTAGGAGTTCCAGGAAATCAGATGTTCAGATATTCAATCTGGGTAATAATGAATGGAGAAGCATAGGCGAAGCACCTTACAGACTAGAGAAAAGGTCTTCACCGCCAGGAATTTTGGTGAGTGGGAGACTTCACTGGATGAGTCAACGGGGAAACTACAATGGGCGTCGTGAAAGGATCATTGTATCTTTTGACCTCGTCGATGATTCGTTTCAAGAGATTCCCAGGCCTGACACTGGTACCTTAAGAAGTTGGGCGAATGATCATCTTGCTGTTTTAGGGGGTTGTCTTTCTGCTGCCGTGCCTTCGAGTCTGGGCAATGGAGCTTTGGATATTTGGGTGATGAAAGAATATGGAGTGAAAGATTCTTGGGTGAAGGATTTCACTCTTGGAGCTTACTCCCCAACGTTAATTCTTGCTGAATTGAGAGAACCTTATTGGATTTGGAAAAGCTTTCTGGGTCGGAGATTCGTTCAGATTATATGCCTTTTGAAGAATGGGGACATCTTGGTGGAGTACAGAGGAACTTTGGCTTCTTATAATCCAGACAGTGGAATTTTTAAAGAGGTTTCATTTCAGGGGATGCCAAGATTGTTTCAAACAACGGTTCATATTGGTAGCCTTAATCCAGTTCAATCCTAGATATACAAAGTTTTTGTTAATATTTGTATATTAAAAGGTGTTAATTCCTTAATGAAAAATAATATTGTTTATGGTATGGTTGTGTCCTTCCCCTTTTTAAAAAAAAAAAAAAAAATGAAATTCAAGTCGAACCGACACCATTAAGCTTATTTATAAGTTCAGCTACAATTTGTCATTGTATTTTCATGGAAGAACTAGTTGAGTAGGTCGACAAAGAGAGTTGTACAAAATCGTTAGGCTTCCGCTCATACGGCTTCGGTGCCAACTCTTTAGCTGTTAGTTCACCAACTTCCTTTCGACCTGAAAGAACACACCTTTTTGTTGTCCCTTTCCAATTTTAGTACTCAAATATGATATTCATATTGATGTCTGAACATACATTGTTTACCAGAAATTATCTGAGCATCCTTAGCATAAAGAATTTAAACTAGTTGGCTCCTAAGACCCAAAAACGAAAAACAATTATTTTTCTAATTTTTTTTTTAACACCAAATAGCAACTTTTAATTCAACTAAATGCGACGAACACAGGACGAAATAAAGAAAGAGCTGCAATCAAACGGACAATGACATACTGAAGGAAAGACTTGTAGAATCAAGAAGAAAAATAATCTTGGTATTAACTGAATTGGCGAAATAATAGTACCTAATAAAATTAGAGTACGACATCACCTACTTGTTAGGATCAAATGGAAGAACCATTTATGTAAACTAGAAGTCAATAGAATTCCCATTACAGATTGCAAAACAGAGGTACAGCCACCTAAAACAATGGAGGGCAATGGGTATAGATCAGTTTTGATCATCAATTACCTAATTTCTTCAGGATAGTTTCTAGGCTGTGTATTTGAATCTGTACATTTTCAATTTCAGCACTGTCAGAATAATGTAAATGACTTTGAACTTCACTCCCTATGTTTAGCTGCGTCAGATATATGACTTAAAGATGCTCTTCTGAGATCGTCAAGTCCTCGCACTTGTTTCAGTCTGATGAAGATCAACTGGAGTTTTGATTAAATTCTCACCTTGAGGAAGCTCCACCGAAGTTCTCTCTTCCATGCATGGTTTGCTTACTACCGGGGACCAGTCATCGGGATTTGCAGAAAAGCTATTCGTTTGACTGAATTTTTCTTCCCATTCTATGGTTTCTGCACGAAATTGTTGATCAAGAGTTTTCGAAGAGTTCTGTACCCGATAAGGAATTACATTGTTTTGAGCTTCTGTTTCTCTCTCGAGAAGGTCACCTGGAGTTGCAGCAGGGTCAAGATCCCAGCAACCTTCGGGCAATTTATTGTCTACGCCTTTAAGTAAACAAGATGGCACCTGGTGTGAAAACCGTAACATTTCTCTTCTTGGAATCCACCGAATGGCATCTTTGTTGGTGTTTCTCTGATATACCGTCTTGAATCCAACTAGCTTTATTAGAGGAGCAACACAAACTCCAAGCTCTTCAGAATAATCATCAATAACCTCAACCATTTCATACTGGTGTTTCACTGCGTCTGGAGTTGTTCTGCTCCAATCTGGGGACCAGTTCCAATATAAAGCCCAAATGTCACCACTTCTTGGGTAGATTCTTACACAACCACCCCTACCAGCTTTGTCCCTACCAAGAAGATGAGAGAATATGTTGACTTGCTCGACAATTTCAGAATGATAGACCCTAAAATTTCCACAAGATTTGGTAAACCCAGAATCCAACCAATTCACTGATCCAAATTCATTATCAGTTTTAGAGCTCAAGTAGCCAATATGAATCTTAAATGGACTGACTGAGATGACCTCACGGATTAGACAATACAATCGAGGCATACCATCTTCTTCATCATAGAGGGCCCATATCTGCTTGGGCTTAAAACAGTTTTCTGATCTATCCTTATCAAAATCATGAAAGTCTGAATCTGGAACAGTTATTGACATTGAAAAAGTTCTCTTCAGTTCTGCTTGATAGCCAGTACCAGTTGGACATGATATTTTGGCAGCTTCACTGGATTTATCAACTTCAGTGTGTGTTTTCCTCGTCAAAGCCTCTGCTGCTGCAGCTTCTGAAGCCAACCTCATCTCTTCAAGTTTATTGCGTATTTCTGATCTTGCCTTGTCAATTAACAATTGTCTAGCATCAAAAGGAGGGGCAGCCGAACTGCGTCTGATTGAAGTCTCAGATGTCAACTGAAGCTTAGAGTTACGCTTCAAGATCCCATTTCCAGAGGTCATTTTTGCTTCCATAACAGTTTCTGCAGACAGTTCATGTCCTTTAGGAAGACTACTTGTCAAGTCGACTTTTATCTTCTTGGCTGGTCTACCACGCTTTGGTCTTGATATTTCGTTATAATCAGTACAGGGAGTGGAGACAATATCAACTGCAGCCTTTACCATGTGATGGTTTCCATGGGCTTTTGTTTTATTTGCCTTCTTATTTTCTTGATAGAAAGTAAAGGACATTGTAGACGATTCATTAGGATCTAAAACGTCAACATGATATCCAGGAAAGGAGTTGGATTGAAAAGATAAATTGGAGACAAACTCAGCTCCATGTCCGGTATGATGTCCTGAGACTCCATTAGGTGCACAATATCCAGTTGTTGTTGGGACATAAGCACCTCCATGACCATAACTTCCATAACCATTCTCAGACACATAAGAGCTTGGGCCATAAGAGAAAGAACCATTTATTGGGGCTACTCCAGTTTCAACAGCAATGAAGACACCACGACAATTCTTACAAGAAAGCCGTTTGTTTACATACTTCCGGAGATATTCATATTGAACACCACAGGTGGTACAGACAGTCCAGAACGTGTCAAGCGTGCTATGAGAAACTGCAGACTTGGAATACATGTCATAACCACCGGCCCCAGCAGCATGGCCAGCATACAAATTTCTCCTGTGATCGTAAGAGCTTCTTTTAACACTATTGGATAAATGCGTCCATGCTTCTGACAGAAGTCTGAAGGCCCCATCAGCACCCACAGTTTTGTTCTTATCAGGATGGAGCAACACCGCCATCTTCTTGTACTGTTTCTTCAACTTAGACTTGTTGGCAGATGGATCCATTCCGAGAATTGAATAGAAATCAATTTCTCCATTAATTTTTGCCTCCGATGCAATGTAAACTCCAAAAGTTGCCACCATTTGAGAAATACCCTCCAGTTCAGGACAGAACATCTGAGCTTTTAAAGCATAATTCCTTGCACCAACAAAATTTCTCTCTGCAAACTTCTTCTCAGCATTTGCTTTAAACCTGAGTGCTTCCTCTACGTTTGATTCCATCACAAAGTTCAGAAATCAAACCCAAATTCTTGAATATAAACTACAAACAGCATACAGTGGGTAACTGAAAATAAACTACAAACAGCATACAGTGGGTAACAATCCGAGACCAATATCCAAAATAGCCATGGTTACCCAGTCTGCACATTTTGAAATAAAAAGTTATTCATCTTTCCTGAACTTTGCGTGATCTACCATAAATACTGTCATTACAGAATTGCAAATATTTCAATCTCACAATCTAAGTTATTATATTCTCGTCAAATAAATTGATTATCAATTTATACATCAAGTAGATTGATGAATAAAACAATCAATATTTAACTTAATCCTAATAAATGCAGATCAATCTCAAGCTCGAGCTTGCACCATGATACTAAAAAAAGGTTCAATAAACCATCAAAAGAGCTTCTTTTATACAGGCCAGAACATATCAAGCTACTTAAAATATAATGTTTCAAGGACCGCTCGCCTCTGCAAGAAGTTCCTCTCTAGTAAAAAAGTTTCAAGTTCAATTCAATTCAATTCAAAATAAATAAATAAATAAATAAATAAAAATAATAATCAACCATAGCATTCACATTGAGCTAAGATCCAAACCAAAACAAACCCATGGCATCAGAATTTATGACGGAATAATAATTATCTCGTCAATTCAGTTTAAAATTGAACATTGTTGTACTTACTCAGATTCGAAGCACACTGACAAACAATCCGAACCCACACATACAAAATCTTTTCTGATTCTAAAATTTTCTTCAGATCTACAGAAAATTTTGGTTACATCTGTAAAATGAAATTATACACAAAAAATGCATATAAAAAAAATGAAAAAAAAAAAGAAAAAGAAAAAAAGTAGAACACAAAAAAGGGGAACAAAGAAAAATGCTTACTTGCTTGAAGAAGTTAAGTATAGAAGTAGAAACTATCCAAGCAAAAAAAAATTTCTGGGCAACGAAAGGTAGATTCCATCAAAACGCCGACTAAGAAATCAATTAATAGAAATAAGGGTTTATTTAGAAGTTATACTACTTCAACAATGCAGTTTAATTTTTTATCCGTATATAAAAATGATTATATTTTTAGAATTTTATATAATATAAATGAATATAATATTAATAAAATGTAATTATTGTTGTTATGGAGTAAATATATTATTTAATATATACACGCAAATATGTATTTAATTTTTCAAAAGAATTTAATATATAATAATAAGAAAATGTAATTATTATTGCTATGAGACCAATGACAATATGACACGTATTCAGCTTTACTAAAAGAAAAATGAACTCAGAAATTAAAAGAAATAAAATTTATATATATTCTTTCTTTACCTTTACAAAAGAAAAAATAAAGAAGAAGAAAGTGGGTTTTTTTTTCAAAGGCAAACGATTCCTTCTCAAGTATTAAGAATAATTATCTCCTCTTTAAATTAAAATTTTCATCTTCAATTTTAGAATTATGACATTTGTACTTGTTAGTTTACATGTTGATTGACACGGTCCCACCCGACCTCTTACATGGGAGAGGTAACGTCCACGCCCAAATGTGTGGGGCTGAGCTCTCGATATGAGAAGGGAGGTGGGCCCGTGTTAACCAACATGTAAACCTCCATGTACCCAAGATCCTCAATTTTATTTGTTTAAAAAATGAATATATATTTTTTGTAACAGTCAAAAGTATTTTGTTAATCATATTTAAATATGGACTAGTAGCATAAATTTCTTTCTTCAGAGCACGTTTAGGAATTATTTATAAATTGTTTAAATTATAAATAGATAAATTTAAAACTAGACAAGTTGATAATACTTACTAATTCTTCCAAGAACCCTGTTAGGCTGAAAAAGGTTCCCATCAGGCCACACAATACTTGGGACTCACATAATTTTTTTTTTTAAATATATGTGAGGCCCCTGTCCAGTGAGAGATCCTATAAAACATTTGTGAGTAATGCCCTAAACACTGATTGATCCAACCATAGAAAGAGGATTGGAGCTGATTTCCCTAATTGACAAGCAAAAGTCCCTCTCGTTAGTGTTCCATCAGTTTAAAAGATAGTCGTTCGAGCATATTCCACCAATTTTCCCTTGAAATGCGCAAATAAAAAATTATTTGAATATCTATAAACATGAATCAAACATAGGTAAATTTAGTTCCCATCCATGCCAACCCCGTCTCTATACACAACCACTATTTCAATAGTTGATAGTTTGAAATGAATATTCTTCGTTATATTCCTTTATCATCTATATAAAATTGTTTTAGTTCTTGTATACGATTTTAGTTATTTATCTTTTTAATCGTTCAGTGTACACATCAACTAATTAACAATTGGGTTATCATAATACTAAAGTAAAATAAAATAATTCCAAATTAGGACCTAACATTCAAAAATAACTATCTATGTACATATAATTTATTGCTTTATCAACAAGCAAAAATTATCAACAACTTAGGTCACCAATTATATATCTCTCACTATTGATAATCGTAAACATTACTTCTTCTTTTTTATGTGAAATAAGTAATAGTTTTAATTCTTAACAATTATATTTTCTTTTTCTCACCATTAGTTTTGAGTTGCATGCCTGATTAGGCACACAATATACTCTAAGATACAGAGTTTGTAATGTAATTCAGACAAAATCCCTCCAATAATAATGAACAAGTCATCTATTTGTTGTTGAAGGGATGAAAGAAAAAATGAATACTCAATCCTCACCGCCAATATCTCCCCATCGAACGTTGTGTTTTGCAGCAAGATAATGTGCTCCGACTTCCATAATGGTATAGGCTCCTGCATGATTCTCTTTTCTTCGATTTTCTTCAACAATGGCGTGGATAGAGCCCATGCATGCAGCAACGAGCTTGTCACTTCTAATGAATAATCTCCGTTCTCCTTCTATAGCATCTAAGAGGAGTCTCTCATAAGCATCTGGTATTTCTCGCGTATAGATGCGAGAATGAATCCAAACTTGTAATGGTCCATTTGAAGACTAGGCAGAATCAAAGTGTGTGATTAAGCAATGATTAATTATGGAATTAATTTTGAGAGAAATCTTCGCTATTCTATTCAAATATCAAAACGACCAAAAATATACATCTGAAAAATAAGAAATAAAAAAACAGCGAAATCTTTGAGCATGTTTCGGTGCGACTTATTTGGTATTCACGAGTTTAATTTCCGGTCTCAAGCCCGTTGCTGTCCCAATTTTCCTCGCCATTACCATGCATGGTATCCTCGATGGAATGATGTACAATTGCATCCTTTGCTTTTGGAAATGCACTTCTTAAACCACCAAAGAAGAATCCTTCATTACTTCCGTTAGCATCCGTTGAACTACAAATTAGCAACAGCAACCCAAGAAAAACTAGAAGCGTCGTCCCTCTTAATGTAGCCATTCTCGATCAGCAGACGATCAAATACTGCTGTTGTTTGTTAAGCTGCTACTTTTTTATCTTAATGATTATGGGATGTGTGAGACTCAAACCATGGTTATGTGCTTCCAGAATTTTTTGATATTGGAAAGTCGTGTTTTATGAAATTGCAACTTTATTAAATTAACACTTTCAATTGGAGGGAGACACGTGGCTTAACTTGGGCTGTTGGATTGGATCTGGAACCTTCTATTGTTGGTGCCGTTTCATTTGGCACCTTCCTCTCCCAATTAATGCGTCTAACTCCTGGTTCTTGTGAGAAAAATCCTCTCGTTTGGTTAGGGTTTCGTTTGTTCGATTCTTTGGCTCAAATATCTTATTTGAGGCCTTAAACTTGTAAATTTTAGTGATTTGGTTAGATATTCTGAGTGATTATTTGTTAAACCCTATATTCTCTTCAATTGTGATGTTTTGAGAGAAGTGTAGTGAAGATTCTTTGTGATTCTTCGAAGGTATTGAGTCGATCTTGAGAGATAACTGTCTTTGCTTTATGTCCTTGTATTTGGTGACCATTTGTAATCCTTCGTTGCCAATTTTGGCTATTATAGTGCAACCGAGCGTAATCCAACTTGTTGGATGGATGCTCAACGGGGGATGTAGGGGTTTGAAGTGGTTGCCGAATCTCTGGGGTTTAGACCGAAAGAAATCTTGTATTGAATTTTTAATTTTCTGCACTATTTTACTTTATGTAGTTTTGAATATATTGCTTCTCAGTTTAATATAGTGTGAACTTTACTCTATAGTGGTATTAGAGCCACACCGAGGGGACGATACCTAGATCTTGGAGAGAAAGGTGGATCTTCAACAGATTTGGAATTTTTGGAACTACTGAAAAGCAAATTTGAATCAATTCGAATTATTGAACTCGCTTGGTGAGATCTTTTTCAATTTACTGTAAATTACATTTAAGAAATTTAGGTTTTTTGAACTTTATCTGATTTTCCAATACACCATTGAAACCACCTTGAGACTATTCTTTGTCCAGTGGCTCCTACGGGGCTCCTAGAATCTGAGATAAATCAAGTACGGGTGTGTAACTTTGGAGAATTTTTTTGGAGGGATTTGTGAAACCTTGTAATTTTATCTTAGTGATTGCTATCTATTGACTGATCCTGCCTACTTTCTCTATTGATATTTTAATATTAGTGAAATCTTGCATTACTCTGTGATTTACTGTGATTTCAAATTGGTACTTTGGACTCCCTGCTTAAACTGTTTTGAATTCTTGTTAACTTTTGTGTGATAACTTGCATGCATCATGGCTACTGCTAAATTTGAAGTCGGTCAATTTGATGGTAAAATTGATTTTGATATGTGGAGTCAGAAAATGAAAGTCATTTTGATGCAAATGAAATGTGCTAAGGCATTAGATGATTCATGGTCTGAGGTTTAGCACCCACTAAGAAATCTGAACTTGGAGAAATTGCCTGGAGTACTATATTTTTGTACCTATCTGATAATGTGATCAGAGAAGTGGGTGAAACCACCACTGCCTCTGATCTTTGGGCAAAACTTAAGGTAAAATATGATATCAAAACCACTCCAAATAAGTGTTTTCTTTTAGAACAATTCTTCTCTTTTAAAATGGATCCTGCAGTTGACTTAGAAGAAAACTTAAGTAAGTTTACAAAACTTACCCAAGACTTGGCCAATTGTGATGAAAAACTTTCAAAAGATCAATCGGCTGTAGTCCTGTTAAATTCCATAAGTGATAAGTATAAGGACATTAAAGTTGCCCTAGAATAGGACAGAGATGAACTCACACTTAATGTTATAACCAATGCTTTGAGAAATAAAGCTTTAGAAATCAAGGCTGAGTCAGATAACAATCACACTGGAACTAGTTTTCTAACTAAAGAAAAAACTTTTGAAAAAACCTACACAAAATTTTAAGTTTTCAAAAGTAAATAAAAAATGGACCGATAGGAGTAAGACCAAGAATAATGTAAAAAGTAAAAAATGCTATTATTGTGGCAAACGTGGTCATTCTGCAAAATATTGTTTTTAAAAAGAAAAATGATTCAAAAGAAAAATGTTTTGATGAAAGTAATGCCTTGGCCTATGATAAAACCAAAAATAAAAATGGTTTGTTTTGGTTTAGTAAGTACTGAAAAATGTCTAAGTGATGAATGTATACTTGACTCATGATGCTCCTTTCACATGTGCCTCAACAAAAATTGTTTTATAAATCTGGAGAAAACTAAAGAGGGTTGGTTATAATGAGCAATAATTTTGCCTGCAAAGTAAGTGGAATTGGGACTGTCAAATTATTATTAGAAAATAGTAATGTTTTGTTTCTTAAGAACACAAGACATGTCCTAGATTTGAAAATAAACTTAGTGTCCTTAGGAATGCTAGATGACAAGGAGTTTAACATAATTATGGGTCAATGAAATATAAAAATTCTTAGGGGGAATGACTTGGTCACTTCAGCCCTTAAGAGACATGGCCTTTATTGCCTATATGCTAAACCCTTACTTGGATTGACTGCTTCTGTTATGTCAGAAAACTTTGCTTTGGCTAAATTGTGGCATGAAAGACGTGGTCATATTGATAAAAAGGGACTGAATTTTTCGCATTCAAA